ACGGTTTGTGATTTCTAGGCTGAAGTGTTGGCATCCAGGGACAATACTTTTACTCGGGCAAGTATTTCTACCCCCTGGGAAAGTGACTCATGTTCTTCCCAAGATTGGGGAAATGTTCTTGAATCCACCAACTGCAGACTGAAGTTGAAAACAGTGTTGAAAAATGAAGAGGAAAGGAGAGCAATACAAGGGGATTTAAATTCCATAGCAGTACTTTATATATGGCATGTAGTAATTCCTCAGTTGGGTGTCAAGACAAAATTAGGTTATAGAACATCTTCCTGCTGATGTTCAGATTTTATTTCAGTTATATAAGTTGTGGCATGAAGTATAAAAGGTGACAGCTGCCTTGCCCAGGGCTCAAAGTGTGTTAGAAAACGATGGTGATAAAGAGATAGCCAGAAACAGAAGTGGCATTGGAAAAGAATATTGTGGAGCAAAGATTCAAGCGTAGCATCTTGTGTATATAAGAAAATATTGTTCTGAAGTGGTTTTGATGAGGAAGAATTTAGACCCTGGTCTGGTGAATAGAGAAGGAAGGTTAATCCATCAATTGTAAGTAAAAAAAAGTTTTGAAAGAGAGCAGTCTGCACATGATTAAGTGCCTGAGATATTTTGTAACAGGAAAACCATGTACACTTCCTGCTCCATGAAGAAGAATCCAAAACAACATCCATCATTGGACTTTATGAGTTCCATCATGATACCACATGATTCAAATAGTGGATTATGGGGTAAGAAACAGAAAGATCCCATTGATTTTGGGTCATCTAATCGAAGCATGACTATTACTGTGTTCATCTCAAAGGGATTATATCTAAATAAGCTTGTATATTAATTGGTTTTTAAAAGTTAAATAAACATTCCAAGTCGTACACCTTTGATACTGCTATAAATTACGTATTTTTAGAATGAAACAGTGAAACGAATTTAAATTTGATTAGAGAGTAAGTATTGGGTAAAATTAATCTTTTCTTCAATATCTGTCCTTCCCATTCCCAAAGAGGAGGAAGTTATTTCAAAACTTGAAAGCCTCTGGGAAATGTTAGATCTATTCATACACTTTTCCTACTTTTTTCAGTCAGGCTCTCTGATTTCGGTAGATGATAGGATACTTACTTGATTAATCAAGCTAATTAGATGAAAACAGAAGTTATCTGGTGTGTTTATACCTTTATACCTTTGTCTTGCACAGATAGTAGTCTGTCCGAATTACCTGTCCGAATGTATTCTCCCCTATGAACCATCAAGACAATTAAGATCTTCTGGTGGGACCCTGCTCTCAGTCCCGCCACTTTCGCAGTTGCGTCTGGTGGGAACGAGAGACAGGGCCTTTTCTATGGTGCCCCCTCAGCTATGGAACTCACTCCCGATTGAGATCAGATCTGCCCCCTCCTTCCTGTCCTTCAGGAGGCTGGTGAAATCCTGGCTATGGAAGGAAGCATTCCCAGCGTAATGGTTGAAACCGGCTAAGGAACAAAGTTATCGAACACACATACGGACTGAGTTGGACATGATTTTGTCTTGGTGATTTGGCTTATTTGTAAGCTCTCGTGGTCAAGAAGTTCTTCCTAATATTCAGGTGGAATATCCTTTCCTGTAATTTGAACTCGCTGGTGTTGATTTAGACTTCTATTTTTTTTAATTCAAGTTTGATGTTAATTAGGGATTTCTGGCTGCACATAGCATACTTTGGCAAATTGTTGTAAAGCTGTTCACTCCAGATGAGGGTCATGCATTTTTTTAATCTTGGGCAGATGTTTATGAGGCATATTTTATCTCTTGATTCTACAACAAAACCATCCCCCTTTATTGCAGCACTGAGATAAGATGAAGTGTCTCTGAAAATTTTCCTATGTTGGATTTCTTTAAACAACAAGCTGTCCCTGAGTTACAAACATCTGACTTACAAATTTATTTAGTTATTTATTTATTTACTCTATTTGTATCCTGCCTTTCTCTACCCTGAAGAGGACTTTACATATGGCAACTGTTGAATGTCTTTCGACAAAATAGTTAGAATACACTTAGGGCACAGACAGCATAATAAACACCACAGGGATCTTAACCCTTCCTGATGCTATCCAAACTAGGAGATAGAGAGAGAGAGAGAGAGATGGCTGGAGTTACACTTAAGAAATGTACCAGTTCCAACTTGCATACAAATTCAACTTACGAACAGTCCTATAGAACCTATCTTGTTTGTAACTTGGGAATGGCTTTTGTTGTCAAGGAACATACAGATATAGATATCTTTTGCGCATCTCCTTCCCATACTATTGCAGTAAATGCAAAAAAAACCCCTCAATTGCATCATTGTACCAGTTGCAAAAGATGGGGTCGTGGTATAAAAAAGGAACTGTTGTTTTGAGTTCTTCTTGCATGTCTAAGAGCTTTTTCTTCATATTGGTCTAGAAACAGCAGGTGCTACCTTGCCCTCAGCATGCCACCCTTGCAGAGGTTTCAAGCAGCAAGTCGTTGGTTTGCATACTTAATAATAATGTAGGCTGCATTAAGGTTACATTATGACAGTGGTTCTCAACCTGTGGGTCCCCAGGTGTTTTGGACTACAACTCCTAGAAACCCCAGCCAGTTTACCAGCTTTACCGGGATTTCTGGGAGATGAAGGCCAAGACATCTGGGGACCCACAGGTTGAAAACCACTGCATTATGGGATAAAGCCTGGTTAGGTGTGTTTTTTAAAAATCTTATCCTAAATTTAACAGTAGTCTTTAATATCTGTTTTTCAACTTCCTTTTCTAGTATGCTGTAATCTGATGGTATCCTGTTACTAAATTCCATATATATGTAGTTGTTCATTACTTTTTCAATAACTGGCAAATGAGTAGCTATGGAAGTTAAAAGTAGGTGAAAGTCTGTTTGTTTTCTGGGCTCTTATACAGAAATGGAAGAATTGGTGAACCAGCTTTCTAAGTGGCATTGTATCAGCTTGTCCTAGAATCAGCATTAACACACTATGCTTAATTGGTATCTTAGTCAACTACTGTTCTAACTCAGGGAAGTATGTGTGTTTAATATATGTGATTCAGCAGCAAACCTATTTGTATTTTAGATCCGCTCTTGTATGTTAAAGTAAAAATGAAATAAAATGAGTATTTGAGAAGATTCAGTCCACAATTTTAATTTCTAAACTTTAGCATGGCTTTTGATGTACTGGGCTCATGAAAGTTTCTCATTCTTAGTGTTACCATAATTCAAAATTGTCTTGAAAGTCCACAAATAGCAGCTTTGAGAGTTTCAGGTGTATATAATAACTAGCCGTCCCCTGCCACAGGTTGCTGTGGCCCAGTCTGTGTATATGTGTTATGTGTGTATATATATATATTTATATGTGTGTGTGTGTGTATATATATGTGGTTTTGCACATGCATTGTAATGCATTTGGGGGGTTAGCTTTTTAAGTCTCTTCTGCTGTGTTTTTATGAGTGATGGTCACTTGTTGGCCTGATATGTGTATTGTGTCCAAATTTGGTGTCAATTCATCCAGTGGTTTTTGAGTTATGTTAATCCCACAAACGAAAATTATATTTTTATTTATATAGATAGTCATTTTCATCTCCTTGGTCAGGCATCTTTACAGAGATTTTGGTAACATTTGCATTTATTATCAGTTAGGTCTTAAAATAATAAAGTTGAAAGGGGCCTCATGGTCCATCACGTCCAGCCCATTGCTCAGTGCAAGGTCTTCAACTAAACATTCCCAGCAGGTAGCTGTCCAGTCTCTTTTTGAAGGAGACCATACCACCTCTCTAGGCAGCTGATGTATTTACTCAAGTCTAGTGTGCCATCAATTTTGGCAAGGTAATTCAGCCAAAAAGGGTGTGCATTACACTCGAGCGTATATGGTAGCTCCATTGCCGAACCATTCTCATTGATAATTAACTCATTATTTGAAATGGGTGATCAACTACTTCAGTTGTCATCCCATTTACATATTTGTATGTTTTAAATGTTTTTTTCATAATTCCAGTCTCTCACTCAGGCACAATGAAGAGTAAAATGTGGGAGTGATGGCTGTGAAGATGTAGGAATGTTTGATTTTCTATATTTATTGGACTTTTAATTTGCATCTGAAAGGTTCTTTCCTCTAAATTCAGCGTTTTAGATGCCACCATTGTGTTGTTATGTGCCTTCAAGTCACTTTAGACATATGGCAATTCTAAGGTGATCTATCATGGTCTTTCTTTAATGTATTTTTTATGTTCCTTTCTTTTTTAATTTGTTGTACCCCACCTTGAGCTATCAGGAGAGGCAGATAATAAATAATATTTATTATTAGTATTGACACAAAAACATAGTATGTCACAGCAAACGAGATCTATATGCTGGATTTTGTATCACAAAATCACAAGTCGAACACTTCCCAAGCGTCTAGGACTGTGTGATGTATTTTCGAATGATGTGCACAGATCCAAGTAAGGTGGCCTTTTGCAGCTGACAGATCGTATTTTGTCGGTTTATTGTTTCCAGATGCCGGCTGAGATCTTTTGGCACGGCACCCAATGTGCCAATGACCACTGGGACCACCTGTACTGGTTTATGCGAGAGCCTTTGCAGTTCGATTTTGAGGTCTTGATAGCGGCTGAGTTTTTCGAAAGTCCCACAGTATGCAAAAATACCGTGGGACTTTCAAATCCTATTATTATTATTATTATTATTATTATTATTATTATTATTATTACGTGATTTGTTCAGAGGGCCTTGTCATTGCCTTCCTGTGATGTTGAGGAAGTATTAGTTGTCCAAGATCACCCAGTCAATTCCTATGACCAAGTAGGATTCAAAAGGAATAGCATTCAAACCACTGCATCATGAGGACATGGATGCAACCTAATGAAGCAAAATCAACTAGTTATAGCCTAATCCTGTAAGGAAACTCCCACTCTCATTCCTATCATGATGCAGATCTCCCTGTTAAAGTTATGTTTAAGTTGAATACCTGTTGAAACATTTCTTTTTCTTTTTCCTCCTTTTCCCAGGTTGGTTACGTTAATCAAGAATGTGCTCTTCATCAGCTTTGTGAGTCTCAGAAATAAAAACGTTGAATATGATTGTAGATTTAGCTCTCTGTAGTAAACGTTCAAACAGTATGATGTCCCAGAGTTGAATAACAGTTCATGTCAGCAATGTTTTTGGATTATGTCAAGAGATCTACATCTTTGCTTGGTACGTCATGTGAATACCACAGAACTTCTGAAAAAGTAACCAACATGTGAATTAGAGGACTGTGTGGGATCTGTCGGATCCAAAAGGACAAGAAATTACAGGTGGGTAGAAGTTATTTTATTTGGAGTTCTTCATTTCTGTACACAATTTGGCAGAGGGCTCGTTTGAAGATTAGTTACCTTGGAAATGAAAGAATGAATCCAAATTGTTTGTTTGTGTTTTTCTGAGGTGTAAAAGTGTCAGGCATGTCATATACTCGTCTTATAACTTTGTCTCCTTATTGTCCAGCGTTGACTGTCCAGCCTTTCAGTTTGTGCAGGCTAAGGATGTGGACAGGATCTTTGGAGAGTTGAGAGCAACCACATGGATTCTAGATCCTTGCCCTTCCCAGCTGATCAAACAGGCTAGAGGGGGATTGGCAGAGTGGGTGAAGGTGGTGGTCAGTGCCTTCTTGGAACAAAGCAAAATTCCAACTTGCTTAAAGGAGGCAATTGTGAGGCCCATATTTAAAAAGCCATCCCTGTGCCCCTCTATAATGGATAATTATCAGCCAGTGTCCAACCTCCCCTTTCTGAGTAAGGTCTTGGAGCATGTGGTGGCCTCCCAACTCCAGGGATTTCTGGATGATACAGATTATCTAGCTCTATTTCAATCAGGTTCAGGCCTTGCCAGGGAAATAAAATATGCCAAGCCCAGCTTGAGATGGAGGTGGGACCGAGAGAAGAGGCTCCCCTGAAGATCTCAGGCTCTGGGCAGGTGTGTGGGCTGATGAAACATGAACTGCATGTGGTTTATTTTACCTCCTTCCACAACAGTGAGCAACTGTGAAATGCTTTCAGTAATTGTTTTCCCCATTTTGTGTGATGGAATAATTGTTGCTAGTTCATATGCATTTACAACAGGGATGTATGTGGCCTTTAATCAAAGGCATGATATATATACACAATGGATTCATGCACTATATGTATTGTGAAAATCTATTTTGGAATTGGAGAATAATTGGCTTGAGCACCCCTGTTGAAAGCACAGAAAACATCAACAGAACAAAACAAAATCCCAATTTGCATACTTATCCCCTGCCTCCATATTCTCAGTTTCTTCTTGGAACTAAGACATGCAAACATGAACGATGTCCAGGAAGAAAAGTTGAAAAACTACTGACGTGCCCAAATAATTACAAGTTTTGAAATGAATATGGGAGGCTGGATCCAATATGAATCAAAAATAATTTCAGTGGCTTCATGGAAGAATGATAGAGATTCCTTGCTGGATTAATTCATGTCTAGTTAGGTATAGACAGGTAGCATAGCACAGTATTTAAAACAAAATGAGTCATAAAGAATATTTATCTTAATGAGGTTAGATCTTGCTGGCCTTTCCAGAGTGTTGAAGACAATGGCAAATTGAAGCATTTTCTCCTCCAGGGCTTTTATTAAGGTCGTACAAGGTTACCTTCATAGGCTAGTTAGCTGAGAGGTGACATGGCAACTGCATGATTTCTTTAGTTTCCAGGAAAAACTTTTATTTAATCAAGGTGCAGTTGTGTAAATGATATTTATACACACACACACACACACATATTGCCATTTCTCTTGGCATGTTATCCCTTTACCCAATTGTATAGTCTTAGCAATATTTCTGGCCGCTCTTCAGCCTCTGCCTTTTGGACGACATGGATTCCTGATAATAAATCCACAATACACAATATACATGCACTGTGAGTAAGTGTGTCTAAAACTATTCTGTGTTACAGCTCCTCTGCGATGAGAGATATTATAGCAATAGCTGAACAGCTACTATGGTATTAAAAGGCTGCCTATTTGATGTATTAAACTATTACTAGAAATATTTTGTTCTTCAGCTCACTAAAATTTTCTTCACACTCTTCAGTTCACCAGAACTGTAATCCCTTCCATTCAACAGCTTTGGCTGCCAGCTGCATTTTACAATGACTGATTTTACATTCCCACTTTCCAAAACTTCAATTTCTGGAACTTGATTTGATGTGTCAGCAGAAAAATGTATACACGAGCTAAGTACAGATAGTCACTTGCCATTTCCTGAAGGAGAAAAGTACAAATGCCAACAGCTATTTTGAGCTAGCAAGTCTAAAATGAGATACTTGAATTTTCTTTCTTCTCCAAATGAAACATAAATCTTTTCTTTTTGCAAAGGGGAACAGAGTTTGAGATATAGATAGATAGATAGATAAAAATCATGTCTTGTTCCCAAAGTGCATGATGATAGGAAACAGAACATCCTCCACACACACTTTAGAGTGGGGCAGTGTAGGTCCAACAGATGTGTTTATTCTATAGAGAAAAGGGTGAATTACAAAAACAAAATCTAACATGTAAGAAGGATTAGTTTGAAAGTGAGCCTTGTAAAGGATGGGTTGACCCTGGGTTTTATTATTTCTAGTCTGACATTTGCCACTATACGATACAGACCTCTTTCCCACCTTTTTTTTCAAGACAGTGCAGACTTGGAAGGGGGTAACTGGATGCAAAAGTGGTAGGAGGAGTAAAGGTTAAACACCCTCTCCTCTGCTCTAGTGCTGAGGTCAAAATATCCCCCCTTGTGTTTTCCTATCCATGTAGCAAGGAAAGGGAGTGGAAGAGGGCCTCAGCTGGGAAAACAGCTGTTTGTGTTGGTAATGTGTGTGACTCCTGATTGCACAACTCAGAAAAATGTTATGCTGTAATCTGGTCTGCAGGCTATAGTCATATTCAAAAGAAGGGGAGAAAATTTCCCAGAACATTGGAATTATATCACAGACCTCTTGTGTCAGTTTTTCACTAAGTCTGGTTGTTCCCTTGTTCTAAAGGAGCATATTCACTATGCAAAGCTAGAAATTTTAAAGGAAAGGACCATTCTCAAAAAGGCATTAAGGCAGTGTATTTTTCATAAGTTCGGGTGTTACTTTTCTACCTTTGTATATGCACTATTCAAAAATGGTTGCAAGATCTGACTGCTAAACTTTAGTGGAAAACCAGTTCTTTTGCTGAAAAGAATAATCTTGAGGCACATTCCCAGAAGTTCCTTGCAAGAAGTCGATTTTTTTGTTGACTTAAGGGTACAAAGGGATTATACTATGAGCAAAGTTCAGAAGTTGGTGAGACCTGGATATGTGTGCACAGCTAGGGACTTTTGGTATAACAGAAAGCATAAGTGTCTGAGAGGTTTGTGCCAAGCAAATCACAATCAAGTCTTCATGTCACTTTGTAATAAGCTCCTCCAGAAAGGATACATACACATGCTGTTATATTCTGAATTGTTTTATAGGAGATTTATTTACTTCTGATTATAGCAAAATCCTTCTAAATAATGTTCACCAGAAATTTCCAGAATTAGGTTCCTTTCTGCACAGTTAGAAAAGTAGCATTCTGCAAGAAAATATGTGAATGAGAGAAGACATCTTATGGCAGTTTTGTGCAACCCAACACATACCACGTGGCTAGAGCTATGTTGCCTCTAGAAAAAAATGTGTATACTTTGAAAGCTTTGCGTTTATTTTCTTTCTGTGACACCTAGCCAAACTTAATAGTAGCTTCTGGGTTTTTCTTCTCTGTCTCCAAATATCTGGGAGCAGTAGGACCATATATTTTCTTAAGGGGACTGCACGTTCTTGAGTTTGCCAAAATAAATGCTTGTGCTCCCAAGTTCCTAGGTGTACAGCTACTTACTTTGTACTGAACTATAATTGGTTTGATATTCTTTATGCAAAGGTTGCTGGGGAGGAGGGGGGGAAATGGTTGGAAAATTATTTATATTTTCTGCTCTGATAAGTGCTGGAAGGATCCCCTGGTAGTGCAGCAGATTAAATTGCTGAGCTGCTGAACTTGCTAACTGAAAGGTCAGTGGTTTGAACTCCCCCTGTTAGCCCCAGCTTTTCTCATCCTAGCAGTTTGAAAACATGCAAGTGCTTCGGCGGGAAGGTAATGGCGCTCCACGCAGTCATGCCGGCTACATGACCTTGGAAGAGTCTACGGACAACGGCAGCTCTTAGAGTTAGAAATGGAGATGAGCACCACCTGCCAGAGTCTGACACGACTAGGCTTAATGTCAAGGGAAAACCTTTACCTTTACTTAAGTCCTGGAAATCTGATGTCATTAGAAAGAATGTGGAAATCAGACCTGGTTATGAGATATGCTTGTATGATAACTATGTTGTACTTTTATATTTCTTTAGATTTTCCTTCAGGAGTCTACAAACATAGTATTTTGATATATTTCAAGAGAATTTACCTACAAAATGCCTCCAAGGCCATCATCTGGGGAACTATGGGGCATCCACTTAATGCCACCAAGAATCCTAGTGGAATGTCTTTTACCAAATGGTATGATAGTGACTTTAGAATGCCTCCGTGAGGCCACTCTGTTAAATATTAAACATGAACTCTTTAAAGAAGCTAGAAAATATCCCCTCTATCAACTCCTTCAAGATGAGTCTTCTTACATTTTTGTAAGTGTTACACAAGAAGCAGAAAGAGAAGAATTTTTTGATGAAACACGACGGCTATGTGACTTACGGCTCTTCCAGCCCTTTCTAAAAGTTATAGAGCCAGTAGGCAACCGGGAAGAGAAGATTCTTAATCGTGAAATCGGTAAGACTTGCTATATTCATTCATTGAAAATATTCATAAGCATATATTCTTCGGGGATGGGGAACTGCCTCAAACAGCATCTAGAGACCGAATGCCAATAAACAGAAACAGCCCAATGTCCACTTCTAGTTTTCAAAAGCTGCTTTTTTGAATGTTAGGACAGGAACAGGGATTAAAATTGTTCAAATGAACTCTCAGAAGACAACAGTTCCCCTGGCATGAGAAATGGGTGGTTTGAGAGGAGTTGTGGACCACGAAATTAGTTTTGGGTGGTTATGCTATCTCCGTGTTCCGGTCGTTTGAAGACACGGAGAACTGAGAATATATAATACATAGAAATATTTTTCTCCCTCAAAAATTAGGAGCTACTCTTGTGATAACAGTCATTTCATATAGTTATTGTGGTGTTTAGTAAATAGAACTGTGATTTAGTCAATGACCCTTCCCAGTTTGTTTGTTGTGTAACAAAACAAAAACATCAGTTCATTTCCCACGCAACAGTGATTTGATGTGATAGCCACTAGCAACAATGAGCTATAGCAAAATTTACTCTACATGCAAATTCCTGACACAAGAAGGCAAAGCTTTTGCTTTTGGTTAACTACATTTGGGCATATTATCTGAAGTGACAAATTGTGCTCTACTTCAGTTAACTATGGTGAGTTTCCAACAAGACAACATCACACATGGCTTCTGAAACTGGTTACACACTCACTGAGTTTTTTTCAACATTGATGAATATCAGTAATACTGATTAAAGCACATCTAATTTAGAATAGAATTATGACTTCTGAAAGTGGCATCTGTACAGTTGATGTGTGCACACATTTCAGATCAGCCCAATGGTAAAGCTATTAGATTGCTTACCATGCATGATCGAAACTAATCGTAGATATGAAAGCAAAATAGACACTACATGTGCTGCTTGTATATTTGAAATGCATATCTTTAATGTATATATTGTAATTTAACAACAACAATTAAATAACTTCATTCAAATTGACCGTCAGATTTTCTTTTACTAAAAATAACGGAAAAATTATTTTTCGTAGCTCCACTTTCAGGCTAATTTTTTAATTCTGAAATGCTGTTGTAATCATAGAAATTGAAGCCTTTAGGAAAGATCATAAATGGGGAGGGCAAGGAAAAGCGTGTTTTCCTTTCATTTGCTTCCCTAATTACCTGTATCCAGTGTCATGTCCAAAGAATGAGCTTCATTACTACAATCCCTCAAAGGTGGCATTTGAAGACAGCTATGGAAAAAACTAAATTTGGGGAGGTTTACAAGGGAGGGGGGGGTTGGCACCTAGAAAGAGAAGTGCTTGTTTTTTCTTACTATATATCAAGAAGCGTTATTTTCTTTGTTTGTTTAGGTTTTGCTATTGGCATGCCTATCTGTGAATTTGACCTGGTGAAAGATCCAGAAGTTCAGGACTTCAGAAGAAACATTCTTAATGTTTGTAAAGAAGCAGTAGATTTGCGGGACGTTAATGCACCCCATAGTCGAGCATTGTACGTCTGTCCCCCAAACATAGAATCTTCGCCTGAGTTGCCCAAGCACATATACAGTAAACTTGATAAAGGTAGGAATAGAGTCACTTTTTACTTCGATACCTGGATGAATGGCATACTGCTTGAAGAGTGAAATTTGATGTATATATCTTATTAGTAAGGGTGATTAAATAGAAATTGGAGTTTTTAGTTTTGTTTTGTTTTTGTTTTGTTTGTTTGTTTGCACACATAGCTTTCTTAATACGATCAGTTTTTCCTAGTTGAAAAAACACTGCTAGATTTCATTCAGGATTACTTATATCATTGTTAGGGTTTGCGTAAATAAATAACAAATGAAGCAATCTTACTGAATTGGTTTGTTGCTTTGGTCCTGAACATACATAAATTAACCAGAGCACTGAATTGTGTTTGAGGCATAATAATTTTCGGTTAACCAGGACAGTTGGATTTTTTGGAGAAAGTGATCAGATGGAAAATAGTTTATTTTGTTCCGTTGCTGTGAGTTTTCAGGTCTGTGTGGCCATGTTCCAGAAGCATTCTCTCCTGATGTTTCACCCGCATCTATGGCAGGCATCCTCAGAGGTTGTGAGGTCTGTTGGAAATAAGGCAACAAAAATTCTGTCCACGTGCAGTTTCAACAGAAAGAAGGAAACCATGAAAATGAGCAAAATCTGTCTACCAGTATTAAAAAACTCTAAAATCAGGACAGTGAATAAAGAGCAATGCTCAAAAAGCAAGGGAATTCCATACAAGAATCAATCAGGGCCAGCTAATGCCTCCCAACAAAGGCAGCAACCAGCCAGGCTTTGAAACTGCAAGACTATTCAATGCTAATTAAGGTGACCAATGGCAACATTCACACTTGCCTCAAGCAGACAAAAGGTTCTTTCTCTCACCCTGGACATTCCACAGATATATAAATCTCACTTGCCTAGTTTCCAAGAGATCCCTCAGCCTCTGAGGATGTGAGTAAAACATCAGGAGAGAATGCTTCTGGAACATGACCATACAGCCCCGAAAACTCACAGCAACCCAGTGGTTCCAGCCATGAATCATAGAATCAAAGAGTTGGAAGAGACCTCATGGGCCATCTAGTCCAACCCCTTTGACAGTTTCCTTTGACAGTTTCCTTTGTTGTATGGATAAAGTTTCTAATGTTACCTGACTTAGTTTCCTTCTGTTCCAGGGCAAATAATAGTGGTGATATGGGTTATCGTCTCCCCTAACAATGACAAGCAGAAGTACACCTTAAAAATAAATCACGACTATGTACCAGAACAAGTAATTGCTGAAGCAATCAGGAAAAAAACACGAAGCATGTTGTTGTCATCAGAACAGCTAAAGCTCTGTGTATTGGAGTACCAGGGGAAGTATATTTTAAAAGTATGTGGTTGTGATGAATATTTGCTAGAAAAACACCCCCTGAGTCAGTATAAGGTGGGTATGCTCTCTTATATAATTTAAAATACAGTGCTGCCAATTAGAGGTTTTTGGATAAATCAGTGTGTGATATAAACATTTACATTGAAAAAGTACAGAAGAGGAAATACAAACCATCTGGCTTTATGTGTGCATGTGAAAGAGAGAGAGTAATTAAGCACATATGTGTGTGAGGGAGTGTGAGGAACAAAAATGGTGCATTTTAATGAAAAATAGTAAAGTTTGTTTTTTGTTTGTTGGTTGGTGATTTTGGGGGAGTTGGTGTTTTGCTTTTGTTATGTGCACTATACTGGTATCTGGCAGGCTTACTGATTAAGATGGGTGCAAGCGATAGGTGTCTTCTGTAAGGTATGCAAGGTACAATCGGACAAATTTATCCTACATGAACTAAGACTAGATCAAAAGAAGGGGAAGGCACATCCTACACCGGTGCTAGAACGGTAACGTGAGATCCCTGTGCTTTTCTACTACTCTACAGTGACCTGTATCATGTTGGGGATGTAATCAGTATTTCTCCAAAGGCCTTTTGTGGTAAGAGGTGTTAAGCCCATTGGTTAACATTTACTACAGTGTTAAGAACTAGGCTATAATCCTAAGTACAGTTAGTTGTACATTGACCTCATTGAACTGAGCAGTCTTCCATCCCAATGCCACCTGTGTTTCCTTGAAAATAAATAGGAAAACACCATATCTGGGAGAAGCTGTGAAAAGTTCAAGTCAGGAAGAATGAATCTCTAGAGCAGGGTCCTCAAAACGTTTTAAATAGGTCACAGTCCCTCAGACTATTGGAGGGCCGGATTATAATTTTTAAAAAGCATGAATGAATTCCTTGCACATGTCACATATCTTATTTGTAGTGCAAAAAACATTTTAAAACAATACAATAATTAAAATGAAGAACAACTTTAACAAATATAAACTTATTAGTATTTCAATGGAAGTGTGGGCCTGCTTTTGGCTGATGAGATAGAATTGTTGTTGTTGTTGTGTGCTTTCAAGTCATTTCAGACTTATGTTGACCCTGAGTGAGGGCCAGGTAAATGACCTTGGAGGGCCCAATTCAGCCTTCAGGCCTTAGTTTGAAGACCCCTGCTCCTAGAGGCTTTGGGTTCACTGGTAATATTTATGGGTACATTTAATTGGGATCAAACTCATGTCCCAGGATTGTACTTTCGCTTATTAATTTAAGTTCATATGACATTGTTTGATAAAGCTACAGTTCAGTAATATCAGAGCCATTCTTGCTACCAAAAATTCTGCATTCTCCTCTTCTTTTCTTTTCATAAAGAAAAGACAAGAATTAGAAACATCCTAGTGTTAATAAGGAAACAATCTATTTTTGGAGATATATTTTCATTTACACAGGACCAGTACAAGAGGACAATATTGACCTTTTGAATTCCTTGTAAACAAAATGACTTGCTATTCCTGCAACATATGCATGTTACACTGTTATGCCTACTTAGGTTTGAATAGCAAAATGTTAACAATGCTGGCGTTGTAATCTTTGCAATTTAGCAGTGGTGCTACAGTAGCAAGATTCAGGAAAATAATTACGTTTCTCCCATCCATTTCAGTATATCCGGAGCTGCATCATGCTTGGTCGAATGCCCAACTTGATGCTGATGGCTAAGGAAAGTCTTTATACCCAACTGCCATTGGATACCTTCACAATGCCATCTTATTCTCGACGTATCTCTACAGCTACACCGTACATGAATGGAGAAGCTTCTGCCAAATCCCTCTGGGCTATTAACAGTAATCTCAGAATCAAGATTCTCTGTGCCACTTACGTAAATGTTAATATTCGGGACATTGACAAGGTAATAACAAACTTTCTCTGTATGCAACTTGGGCAGATGTAGTGTGTTGCTAATGAGTAATTCTTAGAAATACTCTGATTTCTATATTTCTGAATTACTAGTTAGGAGCCACTAAACCTTGACCTACGTCTAGCTCCATGTGAGCTTTGGTCAAAAAGACCATCCCATTCTAATAAATAGGACATTAATCTTTGTGATTGAGATGGCAAGCACATCTTTCATCTAGTGTCTGCTTGGAGTAATTCAGTGTCACAACTTGTGTTGCCTTCAATTACAGAATTCTCAAATAATTATGTATTGGCTCACTTTCATTAATTGGGATTTATCTGATAATAGATTATTTTAGCCAGGATTTTTATTATAATAGCCATACATTTTGCACCTTTTTTGTTATTTGATTTCAGCATCAAATTGAGTCATCTGCAAATATAAGTGGATTTTGGAGAGTTGGTTGTTTTGTCGAAGGCTTTCATGGCTGAAATCACTGAGTTGTTGTATGTTTTTTGGGCTGTATGGCCATGTTCTAGAAGCATTCTCTCTTGACCTCACAACCTCTGAGGATGCTTGCCATAGGTGCAGGCGAAACATCAGGAGAGAATACTTCTAGAACATGGCCATATAGCCTGAAAAACCTACAACAACCTGGTTGTTTGCGTGTTTATTTATTTGCTTCCTATTGTGTTATATCTAGGCAGTATTTTTGCTATGACTATGAATGTCACTGTTGCTAGGGGGTAAAAGGGTTTTCTTTAAACAACCATAGAAACAACCACTCACCCTTTTTGGAGCAAAACAGTACTGAATCACTCCATAGCAGTCTCTGAAAAATAGTTTGTGCCTCATTCTTTATGAGATTAATACTTAACATGCATATACTAGTTATGGTTATGTTTCGCAATGTGCTACTTTTAGATCTATGTCCGGACTGGAATATATCATGGTGGAGAACCATTGTGTGATAATGTGAATACGCAGAGAGTACCTTGCTCCAATCCCAGGTAAACATTACCTCTAAAACAATTTTAAAAATTGGTGTTTAAGATCATAGCTGGCATGTTGCTGATGAGTTACAAAACAGACTCATACTATCACCGATCACTTTTTTGGTTGTCGAAGGGATTGGAATTCTGTTCTGACCACTCAGTGACCGAAACACCCACATCCCCTTTCTCAACAGGGCACCAAAAAAATGCCCATCTCTATGTTTTTTAGAAAGCAGGAGGATGAGGGGGATATATCCACCTATTTTCTTTTTGCTGGATGTACTGCAAATATAACATCTACAGCAGTGGTTCCCAACCTTTCTTTGACCAGGGACCTTTTTGACCAAGGACCACTCTCCAGCATTAGTAACAAAAAGGTTATGAATCAGTTTTTGGTCAACTTTAGATTTGGTTTGGTTATTTGGGGTGGTGATTCAGAAAACTGCATTGGATTGACCACATCAGCTGTAGTTTCTGATACAGAACATATGCCATCCAGTAGTCACCATCTGCTTGCCCACAGAAAAACATATTTAATAAGACTCAGCGCTATAAGAGAGTTTTGTGAGATCAGTCGCTCTCGTTGCAACAGTGTAGTAACAGTGAGGCTGTGGACCATATTTTAGTTCTTGCGGATCACTGGTGGCTCACGGACGAACCACACGTTGGGAACCACTTATCTACAGGGACCTTCGAAGGAGTCCTGGAAATCTCTGTAGATGGCTGTCACAGCATGTCCATCTAGAAGGAAATAACTGGATCTGTTCTTGCTGATCCCTCTGAAATGGCTGTGTTGAAGATGCTGTGCTGTTTACAAGGTGGATTTCAGGCTAGCACTGAGGCACATAGCTAGATGATATACGTTTATCATGATCTTGCCCCATGTTTTGAATTGATGGTCAGAAATTATTTTCTGTCTCCGGTATGTAGAGTGATGTCCACTTAGTCTGAAAACTACTTGGAATTTTTTGTAAAGGGAATGCCTTACATCACTTTTTTTAGATTTGTCCTTTTTCAGATTAGCAAATGGAAGGGTTTAAAGCTTTCTTGTGAGATACTGCCTGAAAGGCCCATCCAAAAGTTTGTTTTAAATAAGGGTAGGGGTCAGGTAAATTCAGGATGCGTTAGATTGTAACTTCCAGAAGCCCTCGCCATGGCAGGTAGGGTTTCAGGGATTTGCAGTTCAGTAACAGCCTGAGGATCACACAATTTCCTAATTCTACTTGTGACAGTCCTTTATTTCTCTCATGATTAGTTGTAGTTGTGTTGTTTCCAACTTTATGGTGACCATATTGGGGTTTTTCTGAGACTTGGAGTGTGTGACTTGTCAAAGACAGAAGTTTGATTCCTGTTCTCCAGAGGCATAGTCGAATCTTCAAGTCACTACTCCACATTGGCTGAACCTTGAGTTCATGCAACTATCAGTCAATTTCCTGCAAAACTATTTTTTATTGTATCTCTTGTGTGCCTTCAACTTTCAAATGGATCACAGCGTTTTCTGGGGCTCAGAGTGTATTACTTGCCCAGTGTTAGTCAACTAATGGAGTATCATGGCTGAGCAGGGACTTGAACCCTGGTCTCCAAAGTCATAGTCTAACACCCAAACCATTATGCCACTCTGACTGTAGTATTATGGTATGGTAAGGAGTGACCAGCCACCCTGTAAACATTCTGTAATTTAAAGGTGAAAAAATTAAAAAATACTCTTACATTGCTGCTTACTAAATATCCTATTCTGAGTGTGCAAGTTTACTTCATTATTGGGCAAATTAAGCTTTTATCTTCTCCTCTTGAACCATTTAAGACGTTTAGAATTGGCTTTATGAAAAGCAGCAGCAAAATGCCTTTCTTCATCCGCTGGTTGTAGATTTAGGCTCTGGTTCAATAGGAAATGTATTTGTATTCAGAGGGTGCCATGCCAGTGGGAACAGGCAAACGATCTGACAAAGCTGTCAACTGCTCAACAACCATGAAAGCCTCTTGGTAGTCAAATGCAGAATCTCCCCTTCATTGATCAAGGTACTCAAGGCCTATGACTTGAGTGGAGAGTTGACAGAAATAGTTACCTGTTTCAATAAGTCATGTCCTGACATCGGCCCTGTTTCCATATGCAAAGGAAATATGAAAAGAGCTCTGCAGGATCAGAAGGATGGCCTATTTTTCCCAGTATGTTTTCTTATAGCAGACAGATTCATTTTAATCATAGGATCATAGAGTTGGAAGAGACCTCATGGGCCATCCAGTCCAACCCCCCTGCCAAGAAGTAGGAAAATTGCATTCAAAACACCCCTGACAGATGGCCATCCAGTCTCTGCTTAAAAGCCTCCAAAGAAGAATCCTCCACCACACTTCAGGACAGAGAGTTTCACTGTTGAACAGCTCTCACAGTTAGGAAGTTCTTCCAGGTGGAATCTCCTTTCTTGTAGTTTGAAACCATTGATCCACATCCTAGCTTGCTCTCTCCTCCCTATGACTTCCCCACACATATTGATACATGGCCTTCACGTCTCCTCTTCTGCAGGCTAAACATGCCCAGCACTTTAAACCACTCCTCATAGGGCTTGTTCTCCAGACCCTTGATCATTTTAGTTGCCCTCCTCTGGACACATTCCAGCTTGTCAGCATTTCCCTTCAATTGCGGTGCCCAGAATTGGACACAGTATTTTTAAAAAGTAATCATAAGCCTTGAAGATATTTTTGGGTAATATTTCTGCTTTCATTGGGGACAGATAGGAAAAACCAGCATTGTGCACCTCCAAACTTCTTTGTTATGGTTGTGTAGCAAAATCACGGCCAATGCTGGCAATGCTATATTTAAAATGGAAGTTTCTGCGAGAGAGCCCCAGAGTTTTGTTGAGCCAACAGAGGTAGGGGATGGGAAATAGCACAAGCACTGCCTTGTTAGAATGGGCCGGGGATTTGAGCATGACCTTAGAAGAACTAGTACATGCAGTGTTCAAGAGGCTTTTGTTCAGATAATTGCTTTACAATATGCTTTCTAGCTTTCCTTCCCTAGTCTACTTAAAAGCAAGTGTGTGCTTGAACTGTTTTGTTAATGTAGAAATACTGTGCCCTAGATATATTGAATCTTTGTGTTCAAAAACAATGTTGCCAAAGCAAAAAGAGAATGCCAGAGAGGAAGTTTGGGGGGGAAAAGGGGGGTTCCTTATCAAAACCATTACTAACAGTTTTGTATTTGAGCCAAAGTTTGGAGTGATCCCACTTTTCTCTCTCTTGCAGATGGAATGAATGGCTGCAATATGAAATGCACGTTCTCGATCTCCCACGTGCCGCTCGGCTTTGCCTTTCTATCTGCTCTGTCAAAGGCAGAAAGGGAGCAAAGGAGGTAAATTTCTTGTGATCTATTACAAACATTTTAAAAGTGCAGAGAGAAAATGGTTTAAAATTATTCTTCAGTCTATTGATCTCTAAACTAATAGTGACATTTGTAACTTGAGATTCCCATATGTGAGTTTAAAGTGTCCCCCTCCCTTTAATTCCTTTAAATCTGAGCTTGCACCGTGGAGTGTGTTACTAATAGCTGAGACTAAACAGTGATTATTTGCTCTTTTTAAGGAGCACTGCCCATTGGCGTGGGGGAATATTAACATGTTTGATTACACAGACACGCTTGTTTCTGGCAAAATGGCTCTGAATCTGTGGCCTGTACCCCATGGGCTGGAAGACCTGCTCAATCCCATTGGAGTCACTGGATCAAATCCAAATAAGGTAAGATAATGCTGATAACAGAAATAAGTCAATGTTTCCTGTCCCATCTTAACTTATTTGCAGACCATGATGGAAATGCCTCTGTAATTTAGGAAGGCCTATTCATAACGTCATAGTCTTTTAAGGGTTGCCAAAAATATACCTCAACTGTTTTTAGCTTTTTAAGATATATATATATATATATACTAGCGGTCCCCTGCCACGCGTTGCTGTGGCCCAGTTTGGTGATCTGGAAAATAAAGCAATGAGAAAGTGTTAGTTTCTAATATACGCAATTTCTTTATGCTTGTGGGTAAACAGTATTTTTTGCTGTTTCTTTGTCATTGTTGATGTGGAGATTGTCTGGTTTGCCTACTCTGGAACATACAACATATCATTGTCCTTCTTTAGGGGTCCCTTTCAAATCTTTGATACTGCATCTGTCATATACATGTGTGTGTGTGTGTGTGTGAATGGCTGGTTGGTTCTTTGTCAAGAGGGCTTTGATTATGTTTTCTTGCCCTGGTGAAAGGAGTTGGACTGGATGGCCTTAAGACAGCATTTCTCAACCTGGGAAATCAAGACCCGGGGGGGAGGGGGTCACCAAAGACCACCAGAAAACACAGTATTTTCTGTTGATCATGAGGGTTCTGTGTGGGATGTTTGGCCCAATTCCATTGATGGTGGGGTTCGGAATGCTCCTTGATTGTAGGTGAACTATAAATCCCAGTAACTACAACTCCCAAATGTCAAGGTCTATTTCCCCCAAACTCCATCTGTGTTTAGATTTGGGCATATTGAGTACTCGTGCCAAGTTTGGTCCAGATCCATCATTGTTTGAGTCCACAGTGCTCTCTAGGTGTAGGTGAACTACAACTCCCAAACTCAAGGTCAATGCCCACCAAACCCTTCTAGTGTTTTCTGTTGGTCAGGGAAGTCCTGTGTGCCAAGTTTGGTTCAATTCCATCATTTTTGGAGTCCAGAATGCTCTTTGATTATAGGTGAACTATAAATCCCAGCAACTACAACTCCCAAATGACAAAATCATAATTTTTTGAGTGATGGTCAAAAAAATGATGTGATTTCGTTCATTGGTTCTTTTGTTTTTAGGGTACTCATTATGCACAGAACATTTATATATATATAGATATACACATACACACAACACTATAGTGTATGTAATTATATTTTCTTTGTTCTAGGAAACTCCTTGTTTGGAGTTAGAATTTGATTGGTTTAGCAGCCCTGTAAAGTTTCCTGACATGTCAGTAATTGAAGACCATGCCAATTGGACGATCTCTCGAGAGCTCGGGTTTAACTACAGTCATGCTGGGCTGGTAAGCAACATTTTTCTTCTAGGTTTTGTTGTAAAAACAAGAGTATGTCTAATAAGATGGAACAGGATATGAAGCATCTGCCACTAGTTTTGATATCATTTAGAAAAGGTTTGAATAACATGGTCATTGTATGAGTTATATCATATACATCCTTGTTTTACAGAGTAATAGACTAGCTAGAGACAATGAATTAAGAGAGAGTGATAAAGAGCAACTCCGTGCAATCTGCACTCGAGACCCTCTGTCTGAAATAACTGAACAAGAAAAGGACTTTCTTTGGAGCCACAGGTATGAGCGCTCTAGCTGAAGCAGCCTCTATGGCAGTGTTTCTCAACCTGGGGGTCGGGACCCCTGTGGGGGTCGCGAGGGGGTGTCAGAGGGGTTGCCAAAGATAATAAGAAAACACAGTATTTTCTGTTGGTCATGGGGGTTCTGTGTGGAAATTTGGCCCAATTCTGTGGTTGGTGGTGTTCAGAATGCTCTTTGACTGTAGGTGAACTATAATTCCCAGAAACTACAACTGCCAAATGTCAAGTCTATTTTCCCCAAACTCCACCAGTGTTCACATTTGGGCATATTGAGTATTCATGCCAAGTTTGGTCCAGATCCATCATTGTTTGAGCCCACAGTGCTCTCTGGACGTAGGCAAATTACAACTCCAGAACTCAAGGTCCATGCCCACCAGACCCTGCAAATATTTTCTGTTGGTCATGGGAGTTCTGTGTTCCAAGTTTGGTTCAATTCCATTGCTGGTGGAGTTCAGAATGCTCTTTGATTGTAGATGAACTATAAATTCCAGCAACTACAACTTCCAAATGACAAAATCAATCCTCCCCAACCCCACCAGTATTCAAATTTGGGCATATGGGGTATTTGTGCCAAATTTGGTCCAGTGAATAAAAATACATCCTGCATATCAGATATTTACATTACGAGTCATAACTGTAGCAAAATCACAGTTATGAAGTAACAATGAAAATAATAATATGGTTGAGGGTCACCACAACATGAAAAACTGTATTAAGGGGTCGTGGCATTAGGAAGGTTGAGAAGCACTGCTCTATGTTGATATTAGATCTGTGAAAAGTAGGGAAAGTAGCCATAGGCATACTGCAGTCAATGTCCCAAGGACTACCTTGACTGTGTTTTACATAGGAATGAAACAGGAGCAGGACTTTATTGCATTGAGACATGACAACTGGAAGTGGTATCAATTTGAATTAATTCTGTAGTGTAGATGCACCTTTGTTCAACTTCCTTTATTTGTAAAATACATTTTGTAAAATGCTTTACAACAGGCTCTTAACACATTTCACAGATCCTCAGTCTTTCTCCAGCTTCTCATCTTGGCTCTACAAAGTTTTAGTAACATCAGTGGGACTTTCTATCTAAGATTTTATAGGTGGCATCGCAATCTTGATATCTGTTTATGAAAATGATTAAATAACCCTCCCCCTGCCATCCTTTATGAAACATGTTGTTTCTTCAAAATATCTCATTGTGTATGTATATTCCAAAGGACTGGCTCCAAGTCTTTATAATATGGGATAATCAACCTCTAGTATAGTGGTTCTCAACCTGTGGGTCCCCAGATGTTTTGGCCTTCAACTCCCAGAAATCCTAACAGCTGGTAAACAGGTTAGGATTTCTGGGAGTTGTAGGCCAAAACACCTGGGGACCCACAGGTTGAGAACCACTGCTCTAGTACTTAACTTTGTGATTTAAACATAACGGTTGTTTGTTTGCATCTTTGGCTAGATTTTGGTAGCTGCTTTTTCAGCAGTGAAGAGAGGCATCTTAGTGAGTGGAAAAGGTTAATCTACACTAGGATACCCTTCAGCTACTCATTAAAAAGAATTTTCTCTAAAACGATGTAGATAGCATTCAATCTACATGGTTTCAGATACATGTAGTAAAATCATTAAAAATTGAAATAAAAAAGTTTCTGTTTAGCAACCAGTATGATAATTGGTCTCGTATGATTTGAAAATAATACCCGGAGGGTTTTTTTTAACCCAAAATGTCTTCTTCTTTCATTTCAGGCACTATTGTGTAAATATGCCAGAAATTCTTCCTAAGCTGCTTTTGTCTGTTAAATGGAACTCAAGAGATGAAGTAGCTCAGGTAATATTTGAATTAGAGAACATTTTAAATAAAAAAAATCTGCAACAGCTTTCCAGACCCTTCATCATTTCCAGACCCTTTCATCATCTCCAGACCCTTCATCATTTTTCCCATGCTACATCTATTAAGATGTAGCATGGGAAAAATGATGAAGGGTCTGGAGAACAAGCCCTATGAGGGGTGGCTTAAAGAGCTGGGCATGTTTAGCCTGCAGAAGAGAAGCCTAAGAGGAGAAATGATGGCCATGTATCAATATGTGAAGGGAAGTCATAGGGAGGAGGGAGCGGGCTTGTTTTCTGCTGCCCTGGAGACTAGGACGCTTCAAACTACAGGAAGGAAGATTCCACCTGAAAATTAGGAAAAACTTCCTAACGGTGAGAGCTATATTCAGCAGTGGAACTCTGCCCCGGAGTGTGGTCCAGGCTTTTACTTTGAAGGCTTTTAAACAGAGGCTGGGTGGTTATCTGTTGGGGGTGCTTTCCTGCTTCTTCGCATGGCCCACAAGGTCTCTTCCAACTCCATGATTCTATGTGATTGCATTTAGCCTTGATGGTTTCTTAATGGACTGAATTCCCCAACCCACCCTATTCTGTTCTCTGGTTTACCTCCTAATTTAAAGAAAAACATACTTTAAAAAATAACATAACTCCCATATTCCCTAAGGGACTAACAGCCACCCCCCCCCCCTCCTTTCTTGGAATATAGCGATTCCAAGAAAGGTGTTCTTTTAGATTTTAAAAGTGGTTTTTTGTTTATGGTTTTTCCACTTCTGTGTGTCTCTAACACTAGCGAAGCTGAAGGGCTGGCTGTAGAGCCCCATACTTCTCTTGGTTTAGTTATCGGCCGTAATTAAAAATTGGAATCACCAACACTTAGATGGCTGATAGACAGGGCTGAGCAAATTCGTTGGTAGTAGACCTACAAGTTTGCAATTAGCGATAATAGTTGTGTGGAGTGTCCATGTTCAGAATATTTCTGGATCTACCACTGGAGATACACTATTGGAGACAAAACGCGCAAATCTACTATCTCACGACTGTGGGGAATAGTGGGTTTCCAAGACTGTCGCAGTGATGCATTTCCATTGTTTTAATTGCCCAGATGTATTGCTTGATAAAAGACTGGCCTCCAATCAAGCCTGAGCAAGCAATGGAGCTTTTGGATTGTAATTACCCAGATCCAATGGTGCGATCATTTGCAATTCGGTGTTTGGAAAAATACTTGACAGATGACAAACTTTCTCAGTATTTGATTCAGTTGGTACAGGTATGGTATTATATTGTAATCAGAAAAGTCTTTATTGTGTATACCTGTGTTTGAACATTTTATATTATATAAATGAACAATACTGTCCATCCTGCCTCCAAATCTGGAAAAAAAACCCAGAAGTTGGCCAAAAATGATGTTGAAAATCTAAAAATAGCATAACAAAATTTTGCTAGCTGATCTATTATTATTTTATTGACACAAAAACACAATATGACACAGCAAACGAGATATATATGCTGGATTTCGTATCACAAAATCACAAGTTGAACACTTCCCAAGCGTATTATTATTATTATTATTATTATTATTATTATTATTATTATTATTATATTTATTTATACCCCGCTTTATCTCCACTGAAGGGGACTCAAATGTTTTAATTTCATGCACTTAAAATAGGGGTATATAGGCAAAATGCACAAATACTACACATTTGCCAGGACCAATCAACACTGAAAATATGTGAAAAATAAGCTGCAATCTTTTGTTTTCACCAGAACTTTTTTTATCAGACTAGTTAGTAAATAAATAAATACAGGAACCATAATCATTCTGGTTTCTGAGAATGTCATGGCTCTATAACTTTGGCCTTCAAAACACTGTTTATTTGGCAAAGCTTATATTTCCAACACTTAGGCATCTTTTGCAGCCTGTTACTTTCAAACCATGCCTGCAACTATGATCAGTGGCAGATAGTCTCATACCCTTTTGGTCCTCCATTTATGTATTATAGGGTTCAGAAATTGAGGGGGTTTTGTTCTTTATATTTTGAGCCAAGAATTTAATTTTTACAATTCATTGGTGATGTGGGAGAGTAACATTGGATAACTGAGGTAGAGGGGAGCAGCAATAGCCATTTTAAATAGAGGCTTATTGTATTAGCCTCTCTGCAGGAAGAGTACCAAGACTCACAAGGAAGGGAACCAGTTGCCTGAAGAGATGATAGTGGTTTCATTCTCTGGACATCTTCAAAAGGATTTTGAACAGATAACTGCTGGGGATGTTTTAGCTGGAGCACCTGCATTGAGCAGGGAGTTGGACTTGTTTGGGCCACAATGTCCCTTCTAGCCCTTTGATTCTCTAATTCTGTCCAGATTCTGATTAACCCACCCTGATCACCCAGGTACTCTGGGGACAATGTGTATTCAATCCACACAGCCAACTTTGGATATTGGTTAGTAATGGCAGGAGCAGTGACATTACATTGACAGTAGCTAGATAAATATTGCTAAACATTTCTTACAATTCGATGATCTTGCTCCATCTAGGTTCTGAAATATGAGCAATACTTGGATAATCTGTTGGTGAGGTTTTTACTCAAGAAGGCACTGACCAATCAGAGAATAGGGCACTTCTTCTTTTGGCATCTAAAGTAAGTACCATTTTTAATACACACATCCTTTTGTTGTGCGTTGTCTGATTAAGCCTTAAGGCTACTGTTCTTATACCCCTATGTTTTATTTAATTGTCTTTTATCTGATTGTTATGTTTTGCTATGTTTTATTTTAATCGTATTTTGTTTTTAATGGATTGTTGTGCTTTTACATTTTTGCCTTATGTACTGTGGACATTTTGTCCTATGTGTAAACCACCTCGAGTCCCTTGGGGAGATGGAGGCAGGGTATAAACATATAGTCATTGTATTATTATTATTTGAAACACAACAAGATGAGTCCACAGCAGACACTCTGCTGGCTGTTGCATTGGATTATACGTCGGATACTTCCCAAGTGTCTAGGACTGTGTGATGAATTGGCAAATAATACATGCAGATCCTAGTAAGGTGGCCTTCTGCAGCTGGCAGCTGGTAATTTTGTCAGCGCCGATTGTGTTTAAGTGCAGGCCAAGGTCTTTAGGCACTGCACCCAGTGTGCCGATCACCACTGGAACCACCTTGATTATTATTATTATTATTATTATTATTATTATTATTATTATTATCAAGGCATAAGATTTTCTCAATGTTGTGTCTAAGCAGGTGTTTGAATGTGAATTTGTCTTTATATAACTGTGGTTTAAGTGACTGAAAATGCTTGCTTTCTATAGAAAGCTTTATTTTCTTTAAAGAAGGTAGCCTTTCAGTTTCATCTTGGTTTTTAAGTAATCAACACAAGAGCATTTATCCAAAATAATTATTTCTATTTATCCTACATTGCGGGGGCCCTGGTAGCGTAGCGGGTTAAACTGCTGAGCTGCTGAAATTGCTGACCGAAAGGTTGGTGGTTCGAATCCGGTGAGCGCAGTTAGCCCAGCTCCTGCTAGCCTAGCAGTTTGAAAATGTGCAAATTTGAGTAGATTAATAGGTACCGCTTCTGCGGAAAGGTAATGAAGATCCATTCAGTCATGCTGGCCACATGACCTTGGAGGTGTCTATTTACAACACCCGCTCTTTGGCTTAGAAATGGAGATGAGCACCACCCTCCAGAGTTGGACACAACTAGACTTAATGTCAAAGGAAACCTTACCTTTACTATCCTACATTGATTTTAGATACATAAAGGTTGTTATAGTTGTGTTGAACCCTTAGAAACTCATATCTCAATACACATGCAGAGAAAAGTCTGTCCTTTATTATGTTAAGATCAGTTTCCCAACTATTACAAAACTGAATGCATTGACCTTCCCAGATACATGTAGATATCTTTCCCAGTGTTGTAATGAAGATTTTTTTAGCAAGCTTTTCTAAGTGGGTATGTGTGTATGAGCAAACTTTTTCCCTGACCAGTGCTTTATGAAAAATTGCCTATAAATGATTTCTGCTCTTAGGTCTGAAATGCACAATAAAAATGTCAGCCAGAGGTTTGGTCTGCTTTTGGAGTCCTACTGCCGTGCGTGTGGGATGTACCTGAAACACCTGAGCAGACAAGTGGAAGCTATGGAAAAACTGATTAACCTCACAGACATCCTTAAACAAGAGAAGAAGGATGAAACACAAAAGGTAAATCTGAGGAAAAGGGAGTTCAAAATTTGGAGATAGTAAAAATAAAGAAAGTTTAGAGAAGACAATGATGCTGGGGGAAAAGGAAGTAAAAAAGGAAGGGGGGCCGACCAAGGGCAAGATGGATGGATGGTATCTTTGAAGTGACTGGCTTGACTGTGAAAGAGCTGTGGGTGGTGACGGCCAATAGGGAGCTCTGGCGTGGGTTGGTCCATGAGGGCATGAAGAATGAACACAGAGACACAAAAATAAAGGAGCGCCTTCTTTAATGATTGGCTTTATTCTCCATTACTTATAGTTAAAATATTCTGATTAAAAGATGTTTAAAAGATATAGTTACTTATACTAAATACTGAAGCTAGTCAGAAAATGATGTTGCCTTTGGTTTGTGACTGAGCCTTTAATTGATTGGATGTTACTAATCTGTCAGGTACAGATGAAATTCCTTGTGGAACAAATGAAGCGGCCAGACTTTATGGATGCATTGCAAGGCTTTATATCCCCTCTCAATCCTGCTCATCAGCTTGGAACTCTTAGGTATGGTCTTCCTTTTAGAATTTTTGACAGCCACAAATGTATCTGAAACATTCATTGTGTTGTCATTAAAAACCATCACAATAGTCTGTCCAAAAAAGTAAATAAGTCCCAGGACACCCAGGCAACTAGCTATCTCTGTTATTGGGCCAACACTTTTATAGGGACGTGTCTTTTAAATAAAATTGGTCACAGTGAGACATTTTCCATATTTTGTGGTTGCACAATAATTGGAGAATGCTACTTTGCCATGGTGACATACTGGTTTCTCTGAAGGGTCTACGAAAACGTCATTACTTATGTCTGTTTGAAAATACAGTTCTTAAAGCAGCAATCTTTTTGTTTCATAGGCTGGAGGAGTGCAGGATTATGTCCTCTGCTAAGAGACCATTATGGCTTAATTGGGAAAACCCAGATATTATGTCTGAGCTGCTGTTTCAGAACAATGAGATCATCTTTAAAAATGGGGATGGTAAGGAAGAGCATTTTTCTGCAAGGCACATGCTTTTTCCATTGATTAGACCATTTTCTTTATCCACAACTTGTTTATATTTGAAATATTGCCAATTGCTTTTAAAAGTAGTTAGTTACTTTTATGACACTATTTCCTCCTGAAATTAATGGCTATCAGTATGATTTTTAAAGGGAAGCTTGTGCTTTCCATTTTCTCAAAAGTACTTTTAGCCACTTGCATTTTAAAATCTGAGTGATACTTGCTGCTAACCTGTAGGGCAAAACAGACTTCTCCCATCTCAACAGTCACAATAGAGAACACATTGCAAGCAAGGAGAGTCCAGTTGGGTCTGTTGACAAGAGAAGCAGATCAGATTGTCCAGTAGGTGCAAAGAGTGACCTAGTCCATATCAGCAGTCCTCCTAAGTGGCTCATTGGCTATAGAAGGAAATTGAGCAGGCTCTAAATCAGGCATGGGTAAGCTTTTGCTTTCCAGGTGTTTTGGACTTCAACTCCCACAATTCCTAACAGCCAGTAGGCTGTTAGGAATTGTGAGAGTTGAAGTCCAAAACATGATGGTTAACCTGAACAACAATATAGAGCAATTTCAAATAGTCTTGTTTGCATCTGGAGAAATACTTTTTGCTCAGTGGAAGCAAAAGTGAAAAATGCCATTGTCACAGTTATGCCCGATGGGAGAGGCCACTCCATCTGGTTACAGTTCAGCAGGCTGTTCCAGCAACCAGGACGATTATGGAACTATTGGGAGCTTTGTCCTCACCCAGTAAATCACTCCATAACCATCTTTAGTAATGGGGAAAGGCAGAACTGAGGTGTAGCCCTTAACCTGGCCCTAAGTCAGGCACCATTCCCCTTGAAGGGTTTAGACCAAGCATGGGCAAACTTTGACCCTCCAGGTGTTTCACACCGAGGGCTCTCTCAGACTGGCACCTTTCTACCAGAGGCAAACTAAGACTGAGGCATTCACATACTGAGGTCTACTAACATACTGAGGACTTTCTCCCACAGAGACTTCTCACAAACTGAGTGCTACTAAACTACAGGCACACCTGCTTATATTGAACTAACAATTTGCTGGGAAACAAATTGATGGGAAATACAGTGTCCTCAGAATGCACTTTAACTATTTGTTGGATTGCGCTCCCCTCATTTCTTTTAAAACCCTCCTACCAGATATATCCTACTTTGTTTATGCCCAGAGTTTATTTTTAATTTTAAACTATTACATTTGGCCCAGCCATAGGTTTTTTAATCTTTGTGAGTTATTGTTTATATGTGATTTATACTAATTGTATTGTTTTTGTTTATTGATTTCTTGTTTTATTGATGTGCTGTTGGGCTTGGCCTCATATAAACCATTCCGAGTCCCTTGGGGAGATGGTGGCGGGGTATAAATAGTATTATTATTATTATTATTATTATTATTATTATTATTATTATTACTATTACTATTACTATTACTGCAGCTTTTGCTGAGTCATTGGATCCATTTAACCCTTTCAGTGTTTGACTTACATTTTTGTAATTAAAAATACCTAGTTAATTTTTTAATATTTCTGACACTTTATGTTGTCACATGAATGAATGGCAAAAACTTCTTGTTCAAGGAAGTATTATATGCCTCCTTTCATAACCTTGGAAAGGGTACAGCTGTTGGTATGTGGCAAAAGTATATTGCCACCATTGGGTCCAAGCCCCTGCTCTTAGAATTAAACCAGTTTAATGAGTTTAACTCGTTATTCATACTTTTCAGAGCTATGCACCTGTCTACATTCCTAGTCACATGGAGTCAATAGCAGTTACTCAAAATTCATGCACACCCACTAGCACATCTCTGCAATGAGAACATATTAGAGTGATATATCTCTTTCACATTTGTACTGGTTTGTTTTGTAGTGAAGGGAGAGCTCACACACCCATGGCTTAATAATGTTTGGATAGGAAAATTTCAGTGAAATGCCATAGCTTCTGAATGTGCACCTTTTGTGACCAGACTACTTGCATTATTCTGTAGATGGTGAATGGTGGTGGTGATGGGAATCAAGGTGTTACAATTGGGTGAGGCAGCCAAGGCATTTACCTGATACTATGCCCATTGCAGAATTGATCTATGTTACTTGTAGACTTGAAGCAAACTTTTTAATTCATTTCCAAAAACATTAATGTTGGTTTTCCTGAAAAAAAATTCAGAGATTGTGTTTCAAGGGCATAGTCACAAACAATGCCAAAGCACAGTAGCCTGTCTTGCAAAACTTTGATCTCTTGAATTGAAAACATTAAAACTGTATTTGACATTTCAAAACACCACAGAGCTTACATTCAGTTCCATGTTTTCAGATCTACGTCAGGATATGCTCACACTTCAAATAATTCGAATTATGGAAAACATTTGGCAAAATCAAGGCCTTGATCTTAGGCAAGTATTCATAAATTGTGGTGGTGTGCTCCAGTTTCTGTCTTTTGCTATGTCTGTCTGATTGAGTAGCTATTTGAAGCAAGCATTTGCAGCTCATTTAAAATCTGTTTAGCAACAGATAATGCTATTTGCTCTGTAAACATTTTGGATTTTCTTCCATATCTTTCTGATCAGTTGCATGACAGCTGAGCTTTGCTATGTGTATCAGTGAAGATGCAAGAGGTGCCAAAAGCAAATATCATTACAGATTGATGTCATACTCTTGAGACAAGAGCTACTTTCAGCATACCCAAGTGAATAGTATTTGACACTGAAGAACATAACTTAAACTACAGACAGCATTCAAAACTTCTTTCTGAATCAGAAATGACTCATTTGGCTTGTGGGGTTACTTCTCCAGGAACACAAATGAAATGTGTGCTTTGGTCTACTGAAGCTAGTTGTGTAATTCTTTATATCTGGTCCTTGGTGGTGGTCTGTCCAAATGGCTTGACGTTTTCACTGGCTTTCCAGGGGAAAAGCAAAACTCATACTGTGATTTATGTGCCTCTTATGCCTGCGTATTTTGCTTCCTGGCCATCTATCTAGATGTCTTAAAGCATGCACTCTGTATTAATAAAATCATATTTTCACGTTCTTTCTCTAGGATGTTGCCTTATGGTTGTTTATCTATTGGTGACTGTGTGGGACTCATTGAGGTAGTAAGAAATTCACATACAATCATGCAGATCCAATGCAAAGGTGGCCTTAAAGGTGCACTACAGTTCAACAGTCATACGTTACATCAGTGGCTCAAAGATAAGAACAAGGGGGAAATGTGAGTCATTTTTTTCTTTTCAAATCCCTCCTTTATTTACCCTATGAAAGCTAAGGATGTTGTACACTGTTAAAACGGAATATTTTTATAGCTGTTCAGGCACCAGTTTGAGGCAAGAATTGGCTAATTCCTGTATAAGCATTTCAGCAGTTTTCTTGAACGGGAAGTTGCCTTGTTATTTCACAAACTATTTTGGAGACTCTCTAAAGTTGATTGTGCAGATGGGTGTTGAGTATATCAATCTAGTCGTATGGTTTTCTGAACTATTCTTGTTCTTTCGGATGATGCAAATAGCCTTGTAATTTATGCTAATCCCATTTGCAAACATCCTTGAAGCTGGATTCCTTTCTGGTGTGCTCTAATTGTGTAATGGCAAAGGCGAGGAAAGTTACAAGGGCAGCTGATATAGTTTTATTGGGGAAAGCAAGCACTAGAGAGAGGCCCACAATACCATCATGGAGCAGCAGGCATAATAATCTACGAGGGGTATTTTTTAAGTAAGGTCCGTTTTGTTGTAGACACTAGTAGTTCGCGCGCATACCGCAACGAGCGCGTGCGTCGTGTACCGGCATGCCTCGGGAACAACTGTGCTCAGTTTCCGCTCTGTAGCTAACCTGTACTGTTCTGTTCTGTGCTTTAAAAATGTTTAAGACTATCAACTCACCCTCCGCATGTGAGGTTCGCTCAGTGATATGGTTTTTGTCAGCAAGGAACCTGCCTGCTGCAGAAATTCATCGACAGGTGAGTTGATACTCTTAAACATTTTTAAAGCACAGAACAGAACCGTACAGGTTAGCTACAGAGCGGAAACTGAGCACAGTTGTTCCCGAGGCATGCCGGTACACGACGCATGCGCTCGTTGCGGTATGCGCGCGAACTACTAGTGTCTACAACAAAACGGACCTTACTTAAAAAATACCCCTCGTAGTTTTCATCCAGATAGGATTTGTACTAAGTGTCCTGGAGAAGAAGGAGGTGGGAGACGTCCGGTAGCTGATGCTCAAATAACACCAAAATTTATTATGCTCCATTTGATCAAGCTATGCCCAAACGTCATTTCTCCTACAAGAATGTAAAATCTCTTCAACAGTCCACATCTACCTATATAGAGTCCTGCTAAACAATCCATTATCTATTTAATCTAAATTAGCCTTACAGCTGTGGCATCATAGCAAGAGCAGGGGGGGTGCACAGTGGCTTGTTTTCTTCCTTTCTCCCACATGGGGGGCGGGCAGGGGAGAAGCAGTGCTCCACAGGCTACATTCAAGGGCTTGTGTGGGCCAGATGTGGCCCACAGGGTGGATGTGGTATATGCCTAGTCTATAGTAACTTCTAGTGGAAGCATCCCATAGAATTGCTTGGAGAACTTAGACAATTCCTAGAAATGACATATTTTGTTGGATGCAGGTAGATGAAACTGGTCCCATGGCTCATACTGTATTGTCATGCTTATAGTATTCAACCATATTGTATCAATCTTTTTTTTAATGGAAAACAATGAAGCATGTGATATTAACAGTGTTGATAGCTATGTTTCTGATAGGCATGTTCTCCATTTCTGATAGGTATGACCCTGCTATTGATTTGTTTACACGCTCGTGTGCTGGCTATTGTGTAGCTACTTTCATATTGGGAATTGGAGATCGCCACAATAGCAATATTATGGTGAAAGATGATGGGCAGGTAAAATAAGTCTTTCTTTGTATTTCCGCAGTTCAGTGGTTTTCACACTTTTCATTTTAAGAAGCACTTTCCACATCTACTTGTTTGCTGGAGAACCTCTGAGTACCTTCCCTAGGCTCATTGTACTTTGTGGAGAGTCATCTAACTAGGGCAAATATATCCGCACTGGAAACAATCAGGGCTTCTTAGCATAACTACTATCAACCCAGAAGAATTGAGAGTGCACCCAATATTCCTTTGAGACTGTGGGAAATGTGTAGAGATGGGGAAGCTGTGCTTCCGGTAATCTTCCTCTCATTACTAATTTGTTTGCTGAGAGACCCTGAACAAGCTTCTAAAAACTCCCAGGGCTCCCTAAAATTGATGTCGTATGTGCATAATTAATTATGCTGTGTATTGACATTTCAACTGAAAAATCAGAGGAGACCTTTAAGTGGCATTTTTTTTCTTTTTCCAAGATAGTAATAACCATAAAATGTCTTTTCTCCAAAGCTGTTTCATATCGATTTTGGACACTTCTTGGATCACAAAAAGAAGAAGTTTGGCTACAAACGAGAGCGTGTGCCATTTGTCTTAACACAAGATTTCTTGATAGTGATTAGTAAAGGAGCCCAAGAATGTACTAAAACGAGGGAATTTGAGAGGTGAGCTATTTTGTAACTAAATGTGAATTGTGATAAGCAAATTAATCAAAGGTAGAGCTTTAGTTATATTTTATTGCAATGGAATATTGGGGACGGAGGAAATATTTCTGGCAGGAAAAAATCGTATTTGGCTTGCACTAAACTTCATTCAGTAAGACTTTTGCACATATAAATCTAAATAACAATGACAGGGTTGCTTATTCTTTTCGATTATGGTATATTTTAATAGAAATTGAAAATGTCAAGGAAAGGAAAGGAAAATTTGTTTTCCTGGGAACAGATATTTCTTTTTCCAGAAATGTTCAGTACTAAATGTTTCATGGATCATGAAGGTACTGTCAGAAGGGAAAACGTGCATTCACTCTCCTGCTCCCTCCCAACACTAAGCCTTTTTTTGAATTCTAACCTACATTTAAAACACGCTGTATTGGTGTTCAGGTGGTCCTAGTCTTGAGGGCACAAAACATTGGATAATTTGCACTATAATATTTGGATCTTATTGTTAGGATAAATGTGCATGATAAATACTTCCACCTCTTTGGAAGGCCCGTCTCTTGTACATGACAGTATTTATTTATTTACTTACTTCATTTCTATCCCACTCTATCTGACCCCAAGGGAGACTCAGAGGGGCTTACATCTTGGCAAAATTTAATTCCACATTATACATAAGACAAATAATACAAATACATTAGGAAGAACTTCCTGACTATGAGAGCCGTTCAGCAGTGGAACTCTCTGCCCCGGAGTGTGGTCGAGGCTCCTTCTTTGGAAGCTTTTAAGCAGAGGCTGGATGGCCATTTGTCAGGGGTGATTTGAATGCAATATTCCTGCTTCTTGGCAGGGGGTTGGACTGGATGGCCCATGAGGTCTCTTCCAACTCTTTGATTCTATGATTCTATGAAAACATAATTCAACTAAAATCACATATAAATACAAATTAAAACCATTGAACATATTTAAAAAATCATAAATCAGAGCATTGCACCAATCTCATCATCATAATTCGACTGCTTCATTTCTATCTGTGTCGTGATGGAATGTGAAACTGTATTTATATCACTCGCTGAACACCTGCGTAGATAGCTAAGTTTTGACTTGTTTCCTAAATACCAGGAGGGAGGAGGCTGATCTGATCTCACTGGGGAGGGAGTTCCAAAGCCGAGGGGCCACCACCAAGAAGGCCCTGTCTCTTGTCCCCACTAATTGTACCTGCAAAGACAGTGGGACTAAGAGCAGAGCCTCCCCAGAAGATCTGAACTCTCAAACTAGTTCATAAAGAGAGATATGTTCAAATAAGTAAGCTAGACAGGAACCGTTTAGGGTTTTATAGGCTAAAGCCAGCACTTTGAATTGTGCTCAGTAGCAGACTGGCAGCCAGTGGAGCTGCCGAACCGGGGGGTGGGGGGGGGGTTATATGCTCCCTTTACTCCACTCCGGTGAGCAACCTGGCTGCTACCTGTTAGACTATTTGAAGCTTCTGAAATGTCTTCAAAGGCAACCCCACATAGAGCGTGTTTCAGTACTCTAATCAAGATGTGACAAGAGCATAGACCACTGTAGCGAAGTCTGACTTCTCAAGGTTATGAGTGCAGCTGGGACACAAGTTTTAATTGTGCAAATGTTTCCCTGGTTATTGCCGAGACCTGGGGTTCCAGGCTCAGTGATTAATCCAGGAGAACTTCCAAGCTGTGAACCTATTTCTTCTGGGGGAGTGTAACCCCATCTAGTCGTAAGGCTGACCCTGTATCATGTTCAGCCTTATGACTGACTAGGAGTACCTGTTTTGTCTGGATTCAAGGATCAGGAATGCCTCTGCCTTGACTGGTAGTGAGTAAGGTAGATGTTTACATTGCTTTAAGTCCTTAACATGGAAAATCATATTTAGCTCTTTAACTATTGGCACACAGGAAACACCCTAGACTGAAGAAGGCATACCCTAGAATAAGTATGAGCACTATGTCTTGCTGATTGTAGGAATGACTGGTACGCATAGATGAATAGATTCTCATGTGCAGTTTGAAAGACTCTGTGTGCTGAATCATCAGGAATGTATGCATATTTTAGTGAGATTTTTATACAAACTGACAATATGGCTATACAGCAGAAAGCATTATGCGCATCATTTTCTTCTTGCATGAAAAAAAACATTTCCTTTACTGCTACATAACAAAGATATCTGTGAGTTTTTCAGGCTGTATGGCCATGTTCCAGAAGTATTCTCTCCTGGCGTTTTGCCTGCATCTATGGCAAGCATCATCAGAGGTTGTGAAGTCTGTTGGATACTAGGAAAATGGGGTTTATATATGTGTAGAATATCTAGAGCAAGAGAAAGAGCTCTTATCTGTTTGAGGTAGGCGTGAATGTTTCAATGTGGATAATTTCAACAGAAAGGAAGAAACCATGAAAATGAATAAAATCTGGCAACCGGTATTTAAAAAACTCTAAAATCATAATAGTAAATAAATAACAACACTCAAAAACAAGGGAATTCCAGACAAGAAACAATCAGGGCCGGTTAATCACCTCCCAGCAAAGGATTGCTCCAGGCAGTAAGAAGTGAGAGCTTGAAACTGTCGGGCCATTAAATGCCAATTGCCTGTGGAACTCTCTACCCAGTAACATTAGATTGGCCCCCTCACTCTTATCCTTTAGAATGAAACTCAAAACCTGGCTATGGGACCAAGTGTTCGAACAGTAGAGGCAGCAATTTAGAATGAGACCCAATTTGTGTGAATGACAATGGACTGACTTGGACTATGATTTCAAACCTGCATGATTTAAACAATGTTTTAGTAATTTTAAAGCAATAACAAATTGTTTTAATTGCTTTTATCATTTATTACTGTTGCTGGCATTGAATTGTTATGAAGCTGTCCTGGGTCCCCCTCTGGGGGTGGTAAAGACAGGATACAAATATGTGAAATAAATAAATAAATAAATCATGCAGCCATTTGAAACATTCACGCCCACCTCAAACAGACAAGAGTGTTTCTCACACCCTGGGCTTTCTGCACATATATAAATCCCATTTTCCTAGTTTCCAACAGACCTCACAACCTCTGTGGATGCCTACCATAGATGCAAGTGAAACGTCAGGAGAGAATGCTTCTGGAATATAGCCATAAAGCCCAAAAAACTCAAAACAACCCAGTGATTCCAGCCATGAAAGCCTTCAACAATATATTTAAATAGCATTGTGACCTTCTTAAATAAAAAAGGTTTGTCTAGCACAGGTATGGGCAAACATTGGCCCTCCAGGTGTTTTGGTAGGCTGTTAGGAATTGAGGGAGTTGTCATCCAAAACACCTGGAGGGCCAAAGTTTGCCCATACCTATCCTAGCATCTATTCTTAGGTGTTCATTATTTCATTGCATTGATTCCCAGTATTTATTTATTTATTGTAACTGTGATATGACGACTTGAAGGGAAAGAAACCGTACTCTGTTTTTCTCCTTCTCAAGGTTTCAAGAAATGTGCTACAAGGCATATCTAGCAATCCGGCAGCACGCCAATCTTTTCATAAACCTCTTCTCCATGATGCTTGGATCGGGGATGCCAGAACTGCAGTCTTTTGATGACATTGCATATATTCGCAAAACTCTTGCTTTAGACAAAACAGAACAGGAAGCACTTGAGTATTTCATGAAACAGATGAATGATGCTCATCATGGTGGATGGACAACAAAAATGGACTGGATCTTCCACACAATCAAACAACATGCCTTGAACTGAGACTAAAGGAAATACCATTTCTAACAGCCCATTTTGTGGCTGTTCCACTGCATTTCTGACTATTGGGCAGTAAGGAATTCGCTGTGCAAGAATTGCACAAACCAAGAACATCATTTGAACTTGCAGAAGAGTAAAAACTCAAAGTTATAACCCAGGTTTTGAAACACTAAAAATTGCGCATTTCAAAATTTAACTTTCTTATGTGTACAGTCATTTTATGCCTTAAGTCCAGGAACTTTGGAGATTTGTTTATCTTGGTTTGTTTAATTAGAGAATCTGTGCCAGCATTAAAGCCAGTCTTTTACGTGGTTCACTTAGCCTGGTGAAAATGTGATGAATGTCAATGCGAACAATTGAAACAAAGGAAGGTTCAGCAACATAGTCTGTTGCTCTAGATCAAGTTTTCATCTCCCACGAACTCTGCTCAGTAAAATATAGGAGATGCTGCCTTTGGAATGTCCGATATAATTGGTGGATTTAAGAGTAGCAGTCTTAGTTTTTGACTGGCCATTTAGTTTTGACTGACCATCTAGTCCTTAGGAATAGATCTTAAGATTCTGCTGGACAGTATTAGTAGGGTTACAAAAGTACCTCCCCTCCAGCTCAAAAGTCTGGCTAATGGGGAGGATTGGGTTTAGTGCAACACCTTACATTTTATTTTTTCTAACCTAAACCTCAAAACATTTTTCATGCATGCTTTCCAGAGCCTAAAATAAAGAGGTGAGTTGTTAGAATTAAAGATTATTTTTATAAAGTTATTTATATAACAGAAACTATTAATATATAATATTTCTTTACATTGATTTGTCAATTTTTCTGTCATTTTAATTCTGCAGACCACTTTTCTGTCTGACAACCTGATTGCGTAAGCCACTAAAGTAGTTGTTGTAGTGACCTGTAGGGTCAGGTTTTAAAAAGGTCCCTGTGCTGGCCCAGGGGATGATGTCCATGTGTATTGAGGCAGAATTCTAGAGCCATTGTGGATACAGCTGCCCCACAGGCCCTGCATTGAGTATTTTCCCTACATCATAGGATTTGCTGGTAGTTCTGGCAGATGCAGATTTAGGGGCTTTTAAATGGTATTGGACAGAGCAATGTAGGTGTGCCCTACTTCACATGTTTAGGGTGCTGCTTGGTGAAAGTAGGACAGATACCTGCTCCTGCAGTAGCCCAATAAGAGCCAGCTATTGCCTGTTGTCCCCATTCACTTGCCTAGTAGGGTGTTCTGTTGAATTCAGTGAGACTTGCTTCCAAATAAACTTGTTTTACAATCAGTTGATCCAGCTCTGTTGATTAAAATAGCTTTCCCCAAGCTTGAACCCTTAAGAAGTATTCAGCTACAATCCGCACAACTAATGCTTGGGAAAGTATAGTTTATAATCAAGGTTTTCAAATTCTGGCAGTGATCCTAAGTTAAGCCTCAAACATTTGCTGAAATTCAGGTCGTAAAAGCAAGCAAAATGGATTTGACAGCAGATCACTGGAAATCAAAGCAAATCAAAAAATTCAGACTTGATGTGTGGTATATCAAGGAAGAACATTTTGGGGGTATTGTCATCCTGCAAAAAAGCAAAATGGCTTTCAGTTCTCTTGATTAACACATTCAGAAGAGAGACTTACATAGATTGGGAAGTAAAAAGGTGAGAAGCAGAACCTTTATTTTTTGACCTAGTCATGGCACAAACGAAAGCTGCTTGTCAGAAGAGCTTTACTTCTACTGACAGTTGCTTGTATAGGAAGAGCTGGCTGTGGAAAACCAAGCAAGAAGATAAATTTTAACTAGTACTTCCATTGTTATGGCCATTTTTGGTAATGTGAGACTCTTTAGATCAGTTTTTCTCAACACTTTTATCCATCATTCAATATTCACATTTCTTCGTGCTCCAAAAAATATCCCCCTAGAAGTGTTTGTGGGTTTTTCTAGATCAGTGACTCTCAACCTGTGGGTCCCCAGATGTTATGGCCTTCAACTCCCAGAAATCCTAACAGCTGGAAAGCTGGCTGGGATTTCAGGGAGTTGCAGGCCGAAACACCTGGGGATCCACAGGTTGAGAACCTCTGCTTTAGATCTTTTTCCAAACAGTCTCAGGCAATATTTTTTTAATTATATTGTGCGTTTTTTGTTAATTCCTAACTTTGCAGCCCATCACTGTCTCAGTCCTTTTCCTTAAAACAGTTAGAAAGTGATATCTTAGTCACGATTTTTGACAAACAAGGTATCTTTTCAGCCTGCTCACTAAATAGTCCTTGTACTGCAAAATACATGGTAATCTCTAGCATGCAGGGCTTACCAACCAATATTTTATAAATGGGGTGGGGTGTGTGTGTGTGCGTGTACATATATAAATGTATATCTCTGTATAACAATCTGAAACTGATAAAGCTGGTAAAAACTAGCAAAACCGCTAGTACAATTTGTTTCACAAAAAAATACCTACACAATTATAGCACCAAATATTTTGGACTCTGGATGCACAAGGTGCGATTCCTCCCACTTTGATGTTGTTGTCTCACTTGACTCATAGAATTTGAAAATGTTTTTAGAGATTTGGATAACTGAATGCACTTGCTTTTTCTTCTATCCTCAAATCTAGGTATTACTCAGAGTGCAATACCAGTTGGAATATAATGTGCTGATGTTGGATATTAGAATATAAACATTGCAAATAAATTTGTATAGACTGTAAGTGGCTGAAAGGTTATGTTTTTTTGAGCAAGTTAAACTTTTGAGTGTGCAATCCATTATTGCAAGATTGAATTTCTTTTCATAGATACAGAATTGGCTGCTCTAGCAACATGACTGAAACATAGCCAGCTATGGTGAGAAGACACTGATATAAGTGTAGATAATGCCATTATGGTTTATAGGCGTTTGAGTCCAGAGTGAGTGAAAATCGTAAGGACTGTCAATATTGACTATTATCTTGAAGTTTAGGCATATTTGTGTCCGGAAAACAAAAGGCAAGCTCGTATTTAGGCTTTTATTTTAGAAAAACACTCCTTACTGTGTCATATGGTAAACTGTGTTTGAACCTGAGGAGTATTTCAAAAGCCATTTGTAACAAGGCATGTTAGAGTTGTGGTGAATGGTGTATTGATCTGATGTCGCCATTGGGATGTCTACATTTGCTCTCTGAACTCCAGCCAATGACCTTCAATATTGTAATTTCTTGCTGGTATTTTTTAAAGTCCTCATATACATACTTAACGGTCAGGTTGTACTTAGCAAAATTTTATAGCTTTTTAAAATTCTGCTGTAATAACAAGCTTTTTCCCCAAAGTCTTTTTTTAGAAGAACCATGGTACAGTATTTTATAAAACATAAGATAATGGTTTATACTAACTCTATTAATAGTCTATTAAGCTTTGCACTGTCTACACTGACTAGCAAAACATCCTCCAAGCCGTGTCTGGAGCTGCCAGGGACAGAACCAGGGGCTTCTATAGGCAAACCATGTTTTGCTATGGAACTGCAGCCCTTCTTCATCACAATCCATCTTGAACTACTGTAAATATAACCGGGATCAGTGGTGCCATTATTTATAAAATATTATGTGCGCTGTTCCAGTTTTACAAATTCACTTAAAAACTCAGTGAGAAAATGTGTATCCTCACAAAAAAACTATGATTTTATGAACAGTGTCCACCTGGTTTTTGTCTGTGAGTGAATATCAAGCTGAAAAATATGCAGTGTATCCTGAAGACTCAAAATCACAGCTTGTTGGAAAATAACAATTCAGTTCTTAGATATGTGTTGCTATCAAATACAGGTTCTTAAAAAGTATGCAGCATACATATTATGAAAAATATACATTTTGGGGGATGTTCTAGTTGTGCATTCCTGTAATTCTGAATGGCAGCAAATTGGATTAGATAACCCTTGCAGTTCCTTCCAACTCCATAACAAATTGAAGCTGCTCCTGCTAAAACCTGACACTTCTTCAGTTATTCTGAGTTACCACAGATAGGTATAATGGTTCAGAAGTTAAAGATAATCAGTGTAATAACTATAAAGTCAACATGGGGTTTTTTTCTTTACATCTCATGTCCAAAATTCACTTCTTTGTGCCTATCATTTCAATGAGTCAACTCAAGATGACACAATATTTCAGTCAGTAACTGCACTGCAGAGATAGTTTAAGAATTGCATATTTATCCCTTAATAGTAGTCTTTGCTGTACCTTGATTCTTTAGAGTTTTTTTCCTGACATGGCATTTGTTATCAAAGTGTTAGAGTGACTTGCTACCAGGTTTTCTCACCATACAAACCACTTTGGTCTCACTTTTTCTGAATTGGCAGTTGAAATAGTTGGTATCTTTCAAAGTTCTGAATTTGGTCCAGGAGTCTCACTTTGCTGATAAATCTTTTGTCACTCTTCTTGATAAATTTGGAATATAGTATATTGCATTTGTGCTCTGAATATGAACGGCGGTAAAGTAAATTTATAGCATTTTAGCAACATCCAATCCATTGCGTTTGGGATTCCCTGAAAAGGGGCAAAACCCATGTACTGTAAAGTGACGAATAAAACGTAGATGGATGTGTTGGGACAGGATTGCCCTTTCAATTTGTATTTGATTACTTTCGTGTAAATCTGTTTTACAAGTGTCCAGTAAATGTTTGCTAACATACTTTCATCTTATTTTGCACATGTTCAGTGTTTTGAACTTTGTCTTTTTCTCCCTTACAAGGTATAGATCAGGACTGGGTTTCCTTCCTGCCCCCAAATAGAGGGAAAACATACAAGGAAAACACTTGTAAGGCCTTTTAAACATGATCTAAAAGACATTGTCATTGGATGGGACTGTACGGCTTTTAATGTATTTTCAAAACTTCCAGTTTTAGATAAAACATCACCTTTAAAAAATGTGTCAAAATTACTTGCTTTATACATTGCAGGCTTCCATGGGGAGATGGGTTCTGTCGTCTTCAAAGTAAAATTGTGAATTTGTTGGTTATGCTCTTTTGGATAATTCCAGAATGGGAAGCCATACAATGTTAATATGTAGACAGTTTCAAAGAGAAAAATATTGATACCTATTGCTCATACTTTGCTAGATTTAATAACCTGTTTTATCATTTGCTTATTTTCAGAGAACTGATAGAGATTGAGTGTGTCAGAACATCTATTCTTCCCATTATTCAAATACAAGTATATTCCTTATATACCAATGTATTGAAAAACTATGGGAATGTATCCTGTAGTTTTTCAATACATTGGTATATAAGCTGCCTTGAGTCTTCTACGGAGTTGAGAAAGGCAGGGTATAAATAAGGTAAATAAATAAATATCCATGGAGCAGTGTATCCATGCCTACAGATGTACTTGCCAGCATAGTTAGCTGCTTTGAGTCTCCTGCAGGAGAGAGAAAGTGGGGTATACGTAAATATAATAATAATAGTCCCTTTGTATCTAAGCTTTCCCTTTCTGTGGCTTCTCTTAGCAATGGAAGGGGTGAAAAATGTTCTGCCATATGGTCTTGCAGGATTCTTGGGTCCCACTCAACCATCTGCATGTACCAGAATGCCAACCCGATTGATGGAAAGTACAGCAGAAGAAGAAAGAAGGGCTTGGTCGGTCAAGGAATGCATAAAAGTCAGTGTCACAAAGTTAAACCAAGTCAGGTTTTGAGTCCCTTGTTTCATGAAGTACGATGATTGAGTGTCTGTCTGAGGCCAATATTAGACTGAGGTGTGTCATCAAAAATGAGAACATTGGTCTCCATCACAGTGCCTGTCTGAAATAGGAAATCTAAAGCAACATCACAGATTTTTTTTCCCAACAAGTAAATTAAAGAGTCAGAAGATCCAACGGCAGTTCTTCATTGCCTCATCCAGGATGGCCTACATCACATGGCCTACATCGTACCTATAGAGGTACGATCAGCCTCTTCGCTGATGGTGTTTAGGAAGAGACTCAAAACTTGGCTGTTTAAACAAGCATTCGGCTAATCTGTGGCAATTCGAATATTGATGACTAAGGACAGGAAACTTGGACAACGAACTCTGGATTGTGATTTTAACTCGAGCTATATGGGATTATTATTGGTGGCCCAATAATTTGTTATTGTATGTGTATATGTTTTTAAATTGTAGATTGTTTTAACTGCTGTAAACCGCAATGAGTCGCCGTTCCAGGCTGAGATATTAGCGGTATACAAGTGTACCAAATAAATAAATAAATAAATAAATGTACCTTGATTTAGGGTTATCCGTTGTGTTTAAATGTAAAATTCCAGTTACTTTTTAAATTGACTTAGTCGCTGCACAGCTTACTTTTTGAGCTTGCTCGAATCACCAAATAAGTTGGCAGTTATGTGTTGGATGTAAAGAATTTGAAAATTGAAATACAGACACAGAAAGACTGGAGGGAATAATCTGAATTTTAAATGATGTTCCAGTGCCGAGCAAGAACTTGTGTGTTGCTGATGAGCTGTTTGAAAGAGAAAAAAGACAAAAACATTATAATAAGAATATTTAAAGCAGACTTTTTACTAATAAAATAAAAAGTTCAGAGCATGAAAACTATTCCTTAATTACAGATTAACATACAAATGCCATTTCTGTAAGTTTTATAAGTCCAATAACATTTTGTAAGATTTTATCTTGAGACAATTTAACAATTAGGATAAAGTCACTAGATGTTCCACATTTACTAATATCCTGAATGCATTTCTGACTCAAATTCTAATTATTGAAACGAATTTCCCTCTCCATTTTAATTGCTGTTCTTATTTGTTTGCTTTTTCATTACTTCTCATATTTCCAGTAACTAGCTTTTAATATTATTTCCCCATTTGTTGGATGTTAATATTTCATCTGCCATTAATAAATCCCAGAATAACCCCTAATGTGGTATTAATTTCCCTTTCTTGTGTCCTAATAATATTTGCATCTAAGTGCAGCTCTTATTTGTTTTTACTCTTCCCCTCTCAAAATTGTACTACCTTAAAATTATTCCATTATATATAGTTTGTACATCCAAGCTACCAGTACTAATCTCTTTATTTCCTAGGAATCTTAAATAGATGCATAGGAGTAATATACCAGGTATACCTAATCCAGGGGTATGCCCATATGTGTCTGTCTCCAAAGAGCAAAGTAAACAGTGGCTGACTCCAGTATCCCTCACTGAGCATGTGTGAACAGCAACACAGAGAAAATGGAAGAATGGATCATCTTTGCCTCTCTAGCTACCTTCAGCATGTCTTTAAAAGCTATCTATATATCTCATCACAAAAAATAAGTCATAATAAAAGTGTTGGCTGGAGAAAAAAAAGGCTACTCATGAATGTATTTTAAGAAGCTTTGTTAAAGTCTCTAGAACGGCTTAAGGAATGTTTTTGTTGATTTCTCTAAAACCACAAGATAAATTGTCTCATTTTATAAATGCACATTGTTAATAAAAATGCAGTAACATGTTGACCTGTTGTTCTTTCTTCTGAAGACATTTATCCCTATTCTTTTCATGTTATTTCTGCCTTTGGCACAAAGTACAGAATACCGTTCTATCCTCTCAGCCATCAATGAATTGCATGCGTTCACCTGCCTATCAATACATTGATTTTATAAACTGAATTATGCCTGTAGTACAAGCTGTAGCTAGATTTTGGCTCCAGACAACCAGTTATTTTAGTTGACTCTTGGTATTTAATCAAGTGCTAATTTCTTACTGTACAAATATGA